GAAATACTGAAAAATCTTTTGTAAAAATAAAAAAAAAAAAAAAATAACTGAAGTTGAATTTTAATTGCTCCAGTTTTCTTAAATTTTATACAACTGTTCTAAGAAATTTAATTTGATGTTTCCTTAACATGCTGAGAGAGATTTTTCTGAAGTCAATGCTTGTATAAAATTATTTTTTTTTGTTTTTTTTTCTCTCTGAATTTTGAACTGAAAAATGCAATTCTTTGTATGGCATTCAGACATAGTTATTTTTAGCCAAATAACACAAAAAGTCTATAGTGAAAAATGTACTGTGCAAACTATTTATAAATGAAATGTGAAGTTTTAAAAATTAATAATAAATTGATGTGGTACCTTACCCGTGTAAATCTTACACCGTAAGAATTGGCAGCTGTCCAAGTTTCTCATGTGTTACCTGTTGTTTGTTTGTTATGCTTACTGCGTAGCCGCAGCGTCAGTTTCCAAGATTGCGCGGCAACAGGAAAAGGATTTCTGTGAGCTCTGTTTTGAGGCGTCAAGATCTGTGCTTTCAGTACAGCGTGAGTCCATTTCCTGTGCGGTGGGTGTCCCACGAGAAAGTACACGGCCCATTTTTCTTCTAACAAGAAACTGCGATCGATGACTCATTTGTAGGACATGTAGAAAACCTGGTTGTTACCCTAGCTGAGCACCAATTATGATGGTTACATTTAGCAACTTGACGGTGCTCCGCCCCATTTTCACAGAAATGTATTCTTCACCAACGCCGAATTGGACGTGTTGCAACAGCAGACAACCTTCTCCCTGGCCACGTTTGCCAGATTTAGCACCATGCGGTTTCCTTCTTTGGGTGTTTGTTAAAGACCGAATTTTTGTACCGCCAAAGCCCCTTGTCCTTTAAGGATATTTGTGGTCGGATAAAGCATGCACTGCAGATCGTCACGACGACATGTACAGCGAGTCTAAGAACAATTTGATTACCGTGTAGATGTGTGACCAAGGGTGCACGTATTGAAGGATTACTATTAATGCATCAAAAACTTGAAAAGTTGCCGCTTCTTATGCTTTAAGGCAGGGTTTCTTAAACCTTTTTCAGTCGCGACCCCCTTTTATCACTGAGATTTTTTCGCGACCCCCCAGGACCCCATAACATTTACAAAAATTTGTGGGACGCCATAAGTATTGCGCAAATCCTTTTTCAATCGCGAAGCCTTTTTATCACTGAGATAGTTTTCGCGACTCCAGGATCCCATAATATTTACGAAAATTTTGTGGGACCCCCATAAGTATTGCGCAAATCCGACACACGCGTGAATGAAACTGTAAATTTTTCACTTGTACTGTAATATACTATTGCAGTTTTATGTCATTAATTTTAAGACATCGAACAATGTGAAAATATTAAATAAGTAACAGACGAAATGACAGCGTCATGTGCAAGGCAAGTAAAATGAACGTATGTATTATAAAAAAGAATGCGTCGAAATGTTTTCATTTTTCTCTTTGTCTTATTATCTTATCTTTATCTATTTTCAGATACATTGTGTAAAACTATTTGGTAATTTTAAAATTATTATAAGTTACAGAAATATCAAAACTGCTAAAATTATGGCGAAACCCTGCTGTAGGCCCCGCAGTTTAAGAAATTCTGCTTTAAGGCTTGCCCATATAAAGTAATACATCGATTTACTATTAATTTTAAAACCCGTACCATATTCAGTTATAAACACTCTGTATAGAGTTTTAACTGTATTTCAACGTATTGGTAAGAGCATTAAATAAAGGTTCCTTACTATAGTTACACACACCCAAATAATTTGTTTTCATAACTATAAAATAAACTAAATAGGAAAAATAATTTCATAATTTTAACTGCTGAATCTAATCAGCTTCGAAATTCGCTTGGAGCATTCTTTTCGCGTTAAAAGTAATTAATGCACTTACAGTCAAGAAAAGAACAGCTTGTAAATTAATTAGTACCATCTCTTTAGGAGTGGAGGGTGAGATTAAAGAAAGATCATAATGTTTCTTTTAGGGTTTTAAAGCCCTAGTTTACATTTATGTGCAATAAAATGAAATATTAAAAAAAGAGAGAAAGATATTAAGAGCGTCAAAATACTCTCGAGAAATCGCCGTCTTGTGTTCTGTGTTCCCTGAAGTGAGAATTATCGGCAAATTCAGAATGTAGTTGTCAGATCACGTACAATTCCCAACGAAGCAACGACTCTTATCTACCAGAACCAGGATCTAGGACAGTGATGGAACCAGAGACCAGGACCTAGGACAGTAATGGAAATTTCTATCCGAACTTCCGGATTATCTTCTGCGTCGAAAACGAATTGTTGCCTTTGATCTTATCGTCACTGAAAGGAAGACTGGGGAGTTACGTCAAGTGACGTCTATTAAACTTGATATTTCTTCGGACGTAGATATTGAAGACCGTGTTTCAATCCTTTAAGGCAAGACAATAAAAGATAGCATTTCCTAATCAGAGATATGAAATGTTGTTACCAAAGGGACTAAATATAAAGACAAGCTATAATCCTCTCTAAGAAGGCCACCCAACTTCCACAGGATTTTATTTTGAATAGAGCAGGTCGTCTTAGAAATGTGAAGCTCAGATGTATATCGATTAATATACTCAGAAATATTTTTCACTTCTAAAAGTAGTTATGATTTATTTTATTTTATTTATTATACGAAGACAAATGATTAAAATAATGATTAATATGCTTTCGTAAATTTGGGAAAATCTGATGCAATGGGGAAAATAATATGATTATGACATGATAGATAAATACTATTTTTTGTTTGATAAAAATCTGCTTTGAATAGACTTTCGTAATAAAATATGCTTTGTAAAATAATTCAAAAAGCTTTCAAATTTCGTAAAAATAGGTTTTCGATAGAGAACAAGATATTGCATTTATAAGCATTATATGCACTCTTAAAATTACGCCAAACGCAATGAGAATGAGCTCAATATGATAACCTCTCGTTAATTAATTAAATGCATCAGCTTCAGTCCTCACTTTTGTATTTGTTTCAGTATGGAATCGAAACATTTTTCAAATAAAAGGATGCTATCATCAAATGCTACCAATCGCTGTGTGTTATTTTTAAAGAAATAATGTACCAAATATAAATAATATAACGAATACGAATTCGTATAAAACAATACATTGCAACAATTAACACTCTTAGCATTTTAAGCATTTTGTGATTTATTTTTGAATTTTATGCCGCGTAAGTTTGAAGAAAGGGATGTTTTATAAATAAAGCTAAAATGACAAACAAATATTTGATCATCTCATTAAGAAAACTAAATACCGATATCATAAACTGAGAAAAGACCGAAAACGAAATGTATTGCAAAACGTAACCCTGTACCGGAAATTCTAAAGAAATGCTGCTTTTAAAACTCGTGTGGTTGCTAAGTCATTGATTTTTGAATCCGAAACACTGTATGCATTACTGTATGCAAAGCAAGCATTACGATCGATGCGATATTTTCAAATCAAAGCATGAGAAACGAAATGTATTGCAAAACGTAACCCTGTACCGGAAATTCTAAAGAAATGCTGCTTTTAAAACTCGTGTGGTTGCTAAGTCATTGATTTTTGAATCCGAAACACTGTATGCATTACTGTATGCAAAAGCAAGCATTACGATCGATGCGATATTTTCAAATCAAAGCATGAGAACAGCTTGGTTTAATTATTTACGGTAAAGTGCGCAACGGATGTCTGTCTAAGGGCTTAATGTCTTCTTGGAGGACTTTGTAAGAGAAACTGTTCCATGAGAAACTGTTTGTATCCGTATTACATATGAGGAAAACCACGAAACGTACATGCAGCCAGCGCGTTCGTCTGGATTGATTTATTTGAGTATGGCATAGCATACGAGGTTTATCTGGTTAAAAGGAAGTACGTATTCGTGAAGGATTTTCTAAGGGAAAGTAACTCCACGTAACACGTGGGTAAAACCTCGGAAACGCCTATGCAGCCAGCCTGTTTGCCTGGAATCGATCCCAGGTCGAATTACCAGTGTTCAGCAATTTTACCGTTCGATCCTTGGTGGGCCTGCATTAGAATAGATGTAAATATGAGCACAGGGTAGTTAATTGTCTACAGTATTGAGAACAGAACAATAAAAATTACTAGTCCAGTACAAGATATACGGATTGTATTTTATATTTAGGCGTTTATATGCATTATGATTGTAAGCTAAATCTCTTTACCTAAATCATTCACTTTTTCTTTTTCCATAGCTTTAAAGATTATTTCTAGTTTAAATATGGTTATATATAATATTAAATATATTAGAAAGACCATAAATCTATTTCTTCTTTTAGAATGAAAGTTCGTAAAATGCTGTTTTTTAATAATTCTAGTTCTTGTATGCCAAAAATAATAATCTCACCGTTTTCTGATGTCTATAATAGATTAACTCTCAATGCTTGCATTTTGGAATCAATTATTGATAATTACAAACATATTACACTTCTACCAATGCATAAATCTTATGACGCGTAATTTAACTCTAAAAGAGGGATTACCTATCAGATATTTCCTTCTGAAAAGTGAGAAATTCCATTAAAATGCCTCTCATTTTACATATTTCCTTCTAATTCATCGACTGATGCATACGGAAGTTCATTTTAGAACCACAATTGAATAATTTATTATAAACAGCCATCATAATTAATGAATTTTCACTGAAACTCTAAATGATTCCATAACATTTCTGATCTGAGGTTTATTTAAAACTAGCTGTATATCAATTTCATTACTACCTTCTTTGCGTCATCGTGGTATTCGCTTAGACTAGAGAACTATGTAAACTGCATTGCAGACGGTATAGCTTAAATTTATAACGCCAACTTAGCTTTGAGAACTTTGAGAATGTGTTACACTGTATAGCTGTGTGGCTCTTAGGTGCTCGCAAGGGAGTGGTCAGAGCTACTGAAGTGTTTACGGAGTTCAGTAATATACAGATAATTAGCTAGGTTTTCATTTTACCTAAAGTGTATCGTAGAACAGCATAGGATTTGTTGTTGTGATCACGTCATAGGATACCAGGAAGCATCTACTGTCGTTTAGCATACCAGGAAGCATCTGCTGTTGTCAGTTGGCGAGAATTCTTACCTTACAGTTCATTTCTGTTTTGAAACTTTGTAGTTTTATGACAAACAAATCGTAACAAATAACATTTACATCGTATTTCAGTTTGATTGTTGGGTATTAATAGTTAAGAAGTAGCAGATGATAACTCGCTAATCTATGTACATATTTTTTATGATAAGCTGTCAGTAGTGAAGGTAAGAAGTCCAAGTCTGTTAACAGAAATATCTTTGAAAAAGCACATTAATGAAAAGATATGTAACATGTATATATACGATGATTTTACTTACAAAATGGTACTAAATTTATGAAGTTTACAAGAAATAAAAATGTATATAATGTAAAACATTGTTACACATACGTTCTGCATATATTCATATTCTGCAAATGAATATCATTCATATCGTCAATATTATATTTTTCAAGCTCAAAAAAGTCATTGCTGGATAATGAATGCATTTACTCTTGGGTAAAAATCTTCTCACATATGTGGAAACATCAGAACTTTAAATAATATAGCACTCTGTTTTGATTCAGATCACCCTAAGGTCAATCTTATGCGCCACCGATTAAAGGATACATTTTTGGAAATGGTAGATTTTAATGCTCCTATAAACTTAGATTTAACAGTCATAAATATATAAATTTCTTCCTATTTTATCCTATTCCATCCTGGTCTTACCGCGTCCTATAAACATATAAATAAACATGTCTTAAGTCTGGGACAAGCTTTACTTTTTATGAGCGTCGTGTAATGCCTAAAAGTATGATGCTCAACTTCGTACAGTTATATGATGATACCACTGTGATTGGTTTTGTGATATCATCACATAATCTTTCATCTTGTGTGGTCAAAAGATAATACAAAATGACTAAAGTGAAGCATGGATTTTTATCATAACTTCAGAAATACCAATAATGTAGGAAAACGGAATATCACACACACACACACCAACAAAACGTTGAAGATTAAGTTTAAAGGAAACATAACATAAGGCAAATGGTATGGAATAAAAATGAAGCTGGCAAAAACTATATTCAACTCAGTTAAATTAAAATGATAATTGCTAAGAGAAACTTACCAAGAACAGTGTTACGGAAAGTCTAGGAAGCGATACATATTTCTCTACCTTTATCTTTAAATATAAGTTTTGAATTAAAATTTTACTTGTGTTTTTCATATACACAGCGTAAAAAAAATAGGAGAGTTCTACATATACCGTTCTACTAAGCCGATTCACGAAATTCAAAGGGCATTTTTCATGTCTCAAAACCGCGACTAAGAATATAATACTTTAGAATTATATATAGCATTGTTCTAATATAGGTATTTTGACACAAAATCAGACCTTTTTTTAACATGACATGCCAATTTTTTCCCATATTTCGAGTCTACGACTCAAATTATGCGTAAATTTTAAATTTTGTAAAATGTAGTGCGGAATTTACGGAGAAATTAAAACTTTATCTTGGCGAATTTTTTTCAGTATGCGCCAAGAATAATTCACTTGGCGAACTTCTTAATTTAAAGCAACCTATTTTCCTTTCATTTTATTTCATTGTACACGAGTGGAAGAAAGATCATGTTCATTACTTTCAAATAATTTTAATAAAGTGCGTAAACCATACTAGGCCTTATTATCGCTTGTAACGAATATGCCAAATTTGAAAACACGCCAGTGTGTAAATTCACGTATTCTCACGTATATACAATTTTCAATAAAAACTCTTAATTTTCTGCAGGTGTGCCTGAAATACATGATATTAAAAAGACTTTAAGATGATATTAAAAAAGTTAGGTTATAATACAAAAATGTTTTCGAAAAAATTATACAAAATATTGAAAAGTACAAATTTAAAAAATAAATCATAAAAAAATGTGCGAATTATGTTTGGATTAAGCCTAAATTTCAAATTCTTGAAGAAGGAATCAAGTAAGTTTAATTAAAAAAGAGATTAAGCTAAAATTTTGAGAGCTAATTTTTTAAAAACTACTCGTGCGATTTTTACAAAACTTGGCAATTTGGCATAATTTGAGCCGTAGAAACAAAATACGGAAAAACGTTGGCATGTCATTTCAGAAAAAGTCCGATTTTTTGACAGAATGCCTGTATTAGAGCAATGTTATATGTTAATCTAATATATATCTATAAGTCGCGCTTTCGAGACATGAAAATGGCAATTTGAATTTCGTCAGTAGCACCGGATGTATAGAACTATCACATTTGTTTTTTTGCGCCGTTCACATGTAGAGACATTAGGTATTTTTGTAAGCAGGCAATATAACAAATAAGCAACGCCTTCGCCGGGAATCGAACCACGGACATCTGGAATACGCGCTCAGCGTACAGACTACCGCACCGTGAAAGCATGCCAAGAAGGCGGGAAAAATACCTTATATACTCCCCCTTTTAAAGGACGACTGTGGTTTTAGGGGACCCAATCGCCCAATCCTGGATGTGGAGAATTATCACCCACCACCAATTTAGTTCGGTGAGGTATTTTGTGGAAGCAAAAGAGATTAAAAAATGAGCAACGCCTTCGCCGGGAATCGAACCATGAACATCTGGAATACACGACCAGCGTGCAGACCACCCCACCACGAAGGCATGCGAAGACGTCGAGATAAATGCCTTATGTACTCCTCCTTTTAAAGTGCCACTGGGGTTTTTAGAGGACGCAATCGCCTAATCCTGAGTGTGGAGAATCGTCATCCACCACCCTTTTAGTTCAGGCGCTGCTGTAGAGACATTAGTGCCTTCGCCGGGAATCGAACCATGGACCTCTGGAATACGCGCATAGCGGGCAGACCACCACGCCACGACGGCATGCCAAGAAGGCGGGATAAATACTTTATACACGCAATACAATAATTAATGTATGAATTGCCGAAGACATTAATAAACAACAGTTTAAGAAATTGCTCATAACTTAAAAACACATTTTAGTAAGGGAGAAGGGGAAAAATACTCTGTTGCCAATAATTCATTTTTGGATTCTGTTTTCTTTAAAATATATTTTATAACTTATATTTCAGTATGTATTGTTAAAAGGTACTTATTTTGAAATTTGTAGCATACTTTCTCAACGCATGCATATTTTATCCTGCTTTTTGGCGTCGAGGTATGAAATTGAAACTTTTAGCCCATGCGTGTATATATCTTACTGAATACCTCCATCGTCCATTTAAATTATTATATTTTTATCGCAAGATTGCTATTCACAGCATAAAAGAAGGGAGCAATATTATGAAATTATAATATTGGGAACCCAGATCAAATGGAACAGGGCTGCGCAGTCCTTTTCTTCCCTACCTATTGCACTAAAATAACGTCTATATTTAACGTTATATTTTAAAATACAGTTAATGTGCATATATATGTTTATAACCGTCTTTGACTTACATTTTGCTTTGGCAAGATCTTGTAGGATAACCTAAGTATACATCAAAATTTATTGATGTTAATGAAATTGGAGAACGCCACTAAAACTTAACTAGAATATCCAAATTTCCATAACAATTCAAACAAGTATGCATTGAAATGACTTTGAAAGATGGACTTTAAATCTCACGCAGTTTTCATGAAACTTATAATATTGACTACCTTTCAGCCAATAAATGTAAATATGAATAGAATAGTGTCTGTCATAAAGATTAGTTTACTTCAACAATAAATGAAGCAGCATGAAATTTTTATTGAAATATGCAGATTCACGATGTCGTAAAAGAGTAATTTTGCGGTTTGATAGCTGTTTGTTCTTATGAGAGGTGAATTGAAAGGTAAAATGGAATATTTGGAAAGTCAGCTCATTCATTCTCTTCAAAAGCGTTATTCCGTTGTGTGTAAGTTCAAAATATAAACGTCTGACCAACAAAAATGAAAATATAAAAAGCATTCATAAAGATAAAAAGATCATCCACTCAAGAGAATACATACCTTTATTTTGTTTTCTGTGCTTGCTAAAAGTTTTCACAGTTCCCATCCGCATAGTCAAGATTTCATCAGTAGTCAGTTTTTCATTATATCAAGGCACTTTTAAAATTAATGTTTTGTGCCTGGGTGCTTAATTGAGCAACTTGAAAAATTCTTCGATGTAATCTTACATGGTTTGTGCATTCAGGTTATGGTACAAATTCAATTGGAATGATAAGTACGGTATAAATTAACGTTAGATATTAAGACTTACTATTAGTTATTTGGTCGGATGGGTAGAACTTGTGTTTAATCTGTACTATAATAAAGAATATCCTTAAAAACTGCTAATAATACAACTATTTGTTTCTGTACATCGTATTCTTCCGAATGAAAGACAAACTTGCCTTTCTTGAAGTTTTGAAGGAGTTTAAATGAAAAGTATGCCATACACGGTTAATATATTTTACATAAATAAACCTGATACATGTTACATATACATTGGTTATCATTATTTAAGGAAAATCTTAAAAATGATTATTACACAAAAAGTTGCATATAGAAACTTATTGAAACTGACCCACAGTATACAAAGCATACTAAGGTATAAAACAGCATGAAAAAGAATTACCAGACAATTACGGTGTTATAGAGTTTAGCACATGTATAAAATAAACAAACCGAATGTGTCAGCTTGGTGCAGGAAAATTACCTTCAATATGGAGTTGCTCTTAATTATGCAATTTATCAGTTCTGTAGGAAGTCAGAGCCGTAGCTCTTGCAAAGCAGTTGCAAGCGTGGCAAGGGTATTAAGAGCAGGATTGAGATCGGCACTTTTTTTAATATGTCTTTTTAAAGCATCCCAAACGCACTCGATTAAGATTTGGTGATATATCTGGTCACACCACACACTGAATTGTATGCTGCTGAAGATAATCATCGATGCGAGTCCTGTGCGGTCTAGCATTGTCGTCCTGTAGCAGTAAATTTTCACCTACTGCCCCGGCATAACGGAGTACATAAGCATCAAGGATATCATCTCTATAGGCTTAAACATTCATGGTTCCACGTGGAAAAATCATG